GCGGCTGAAACTGACCAGCAGCGGCTGAATCAGGGACGCCTGGGGCAGAGCCAGACTATCGTAAGGGGGAGCTATCAGGGGTCTGGGGTAACATCCCCTCCCACCCCACTCCAGACCCCTCATAGTCCCCCCTTCTGATAGTCCAGCATATCTGATAATCCGGCACCCCCTGGGTCCTAAAGGTGCTGGATTATCGCAAGTTTACTGTACTCTTAAGAAACTTGTTACATGCAATTTCTTACCCTAAGAATCTTTTCTCACAAGCTTAGAAGCCTCCCTGCTTTGGCCTGATCCTTTTCTTTGTGCAGTTTTAAGTGTTTGCAGCAGACATCTCAGATGGTAAACAAGGGTGTCCTAGCATGTGGCAGCCACTCCTATTATTTGGTCTCCCACCTTTATATCCCTGTTGCCAAACCCCACCCCAGGAATCCTTTGTGTTCAGTTTCAACTTTTCACACGCTCATGGAAAAGTACAGCATCCAAAATGGATTCCAGCACCAGGAGACCTGGCCACGTCTTGACAGGACCAACCTTGTCCAGCTTACAGGAAAAGAAAAACTATTCACAGATCAGGCTATGTCTACACTGCAAGGTTTTTGCACAAAAACCTATGGATCGTCCTCACCTCAAACGTGCTTTTGCACAAGTAAATCAGCAGTAAAACGGCAGAACAGAGGACTTTTTCCAGTGTAGGTTAACCTCCTTTTATGAGGCATAACTCCTTTTTCCGCTACAGCTGTTGCACAAAAAGGCACATGTGGATGCTCCGCAAGGGTTTCTTGCGCAAATAGAGCCTATCCGAAAAAGCACAAGTGCTCTGATGACCAGCAGAACTTTCCTGCGCAAGAGCGTCCTTGCAGCATGGATGCTCTCTTGCACAAAAGCAATGAGCTCTGAGGTGTAGACGTGCTTCTGCGCAAGAAGTTTTTGTGCAAGAACTCTTCCACAAAAGACTTCTTGTGCAAAAACCTTATAGCCTCAGTGTCCTGAGTACTGGGCCATTAAGGTCCTTGAGTACTACTAATGCTCCTCACTTAGCACATCTAGATCAGTAAACAGGTTTATACTTCAGGCATGCTTTCCTCCCTTTTCAAAGCTCTGGGAAGGATCTGACAGCTGAGTGTGTTGCTCCATTTGGGAAAAACAAAAAGCAAAAGCGGCGAGGAGTCCTGTGGCACCTTATAGACTAACTGAAGTGTAGGAGCATAAGCTTACGTGGGCAAAGACCCACTTCGTCAGATGCATGACATGAAGTGGGTCTTTGCCCACATAAGCTTATGCTCCTACACTTCAGTTAGTCTATAAGGTGCCACAGGACTCCTCACTGCTTTTGCAGATTCAGACTAACACGGCTACCCCTCTGATACTTAACAAAAAGCAAGTCATTAGACTGCTAAAGTTGTGCCCTGCACTAGGAACAGTGGCAGGCAAACCGCATACCCACAGTCCATTGTTCACAGAATTGATGATGGTGCCCCTAGAGCGAACATAATCTGTCAAAGGGAGCAAGTACAAACACCTTCTGACAAATTTTGTTTTGTCGACATTTGGGTATCGGCATACGTTTTGTCACCAAAACTTGGCAGTATACACAGACCTTTATTTTAGGTACATGTATTTGAAAACCCGGGCCTTAGTTCACTAATCTCTTTCCACCTGCAGACACTTTCACAATGTCAACCAATTAGTCTTTCTTGCCCTACAGAAAGTCCTCCAAACAGGCTGCCACTTGCCCCTACTTAAGCCATCAACAGTCAGAAGACTAAAAGATTTCTTGCTCATTGAAGAAAACATTTTCTCTCTGCCCTTATAACTTACGAGTCAGAGATAAGAACATTTGTTCCTTGCCCTTGTCTACATACTTATTTGCTTCAGTGGCTATCAGTAGAGTTATCAAGATAAAAACAGCCATGCTCCTTCCAAGAGACAAGAGCTTCCCATTCCAATCCTCTTGGAAGAGATTGGAGTCTTTGGGTACGTCTAGACTACGTGCCTCTGTCGCCAGAGGCATGTAGATTAGGCTACCAGACATAGTAAAATGAAGCGGCGATTTAAATAATCGTCGCTTCATTTAAATTTACATGGCTGCCGCGCTGAGCCGACAAACAGCTCATCAGCTGTTTGTCAGCTCAGTGCGATAGTCTGGACGCTTCCCTGCCGACATCAAAGGTATTTGTCCACCACCCAGGTAAACCTCCTGGGATGAGGTTTACCTGGGTGGTCAACAAATACCTTTGATGTCGACACCCGCACGTCCAGACTC